AAAGCATAAACACAATTTGCTTCACAATACATTTGTATTATGTAACGGTAAAAACAATATAAACAAAAATTGTAATGTCACTAATTTTTATTGACAATATGATATTCAAATTTACATATCTTTACATTTTATTAAGATTATATAATTTATACAGTACTGCACTTAAATAAAAATATTTTTAACTTTTACCAAAAACTAGATGTAGTCACCAATAATCTTATTTTTAGATTTTGTAAAAAGGGAATAGTCACCAAATAGACTGTGTTGTACCATAAACCACTTCTACCAAAGTTTGATGTTTATTATGAAATTATTAAATTTAAAAAATAATTTTAACAAAATTATTTTGTAAAACAAAAATATTTGATTTTGTGTGTTCATGCACAAATAGTGTGTTGTCATGACAATTGTGATAGAGGCAGCCGTTTTCAATAAAAAATAATCCTTGAAGCGTATTTGCACACAAATTGGTTGTCTTATAATGTTGTTAGCAGAACTAAATAAAGGCGAAAACATTATGTCCTTTATTTGTGAGAAAATGGAAGCAGACAATTTAAAAATAAATTTCAGTACAGTAAATTGTAAATAGGAATTCACAGCTCAATCCATTAATCATTATAGAAGCATAATTTGATTATTTAATATGACCTTTGTGGCACCAAATAAATGCAGGAAGCAACGATGGCATGTAGCAACCTAGATATGACATGACACGTGACCCAACATTCCCAGCATTCATTGTGTTCACTCACTTGATACCACCATAACATTGGCTCAATATGACACAGATTAACACCCCAACCCCTTCCCAAATGACTAAACTTGCAGCTAATCTAATGGCCGTTTTTTAATAATAAAATTTAACCTACAAAAAATGACTATCCCTTCTATTAATCTATTATGGATAATAATATATTATTAATTTTCACAGAATTGAAAATATTGTAAATTGGGTGAAAAAATCAATGTATTTATTTGTTGATTTTTTTTAATTTGAATTCATGCGTTCTTGACCATTTCACCACCAGTTCCTTCTTTTCATCACAAATTCACAAAATAGTCTTGTTTATAGTCTGCACTTTCTTTCAGAAGATTGTGACAAAAAGAGCCAAATTGTTTTAGTAATAACTCAAATTTGAGTTCGTTTCCAGAAATATTGAAGAATATAAGAACAAAATACAGACAACTGTGGGCGAGAAAGTCTGACAGTGAAAAGGTTAATGCAGCCAGAGACAAACAATAACCAGTTTAACATAAACTCGTACAATTGTGAACAGTAGATATATTTGGTAATCGTTGTCCTAAGTAACTATTAAAAATATAAATCATATTTATCAATTCAAGCACAATTGTGATTATTTCACATTTCATGAGATTTCAACGTTGGCATCTTCATCATTTATCACACAAGTCGCAAATAAATTCTTGGTTTATCATAAAATTATAGAAAAATTATAGAAAATTTGCAAATACAAACATTTTGGCAGAAAATGTTAGGCTAAGCTTAAAATGCAGTTTGTTTTGCAGAATTTAAATGCAATTTGTTACAGAAATTCAGTACATTGTATATCCATATTTGCACATTATATTGTCTTGTGAAAAAAATATGGTATTGATACCAATACAAATGTAACCGTGTATATACAGTGTTACCAAAAATACACATTTGAATTTTACTAAAAGATATTGGATTATTATGGAAAAAATACCTCATAATTTAACAATAAATATAAAAGCTCCAAGTAGAATTTTCTAACACAAATGTGAAAATGGCATTTTCAAATAATATATTTAAACAAAAACTCAAAATGAATAATTTCAGACTTAATTCAAAAATACTTGTAAATATTCAGTTGTCAGAAAATTCGTGTTTATTATTATTTTAATTTATCTAAAGACTAAAATCAAATGTTGTGACTCCTAACAGAATTGTAGAAAACCCCCAAAAGTTATTTACAATATTTACAGTTTTCATATATTAATATTTCTATTGTATTTCCATCATAAATTACCAACACTGCATCAGATAAAACTCTGAAAGGCAATGACCTTTATTAATCCATATAATACCGAGCCAAACAAGTAAAATGATACATGTTACACAAATGGCAACATAAATATTCAAATAAATATTCATATCCATGTATTTACATGGCATATTTATTTACTCATTTGGTATAGCAATGGTAATTGATAAATATAAACAAATACTGTACAATAACACAGTTGTTTTTATCTTGATTATGGTTTCCATGGCGGACGGAATGGATTAGCTGGCAGAACACTGCCAGTTCTTGGACGAATAAGCCTTGTTACCTGATTATCCCTCCGTGGTTCAGAAGGAGGGTGAGGAATTTTCGCAGCAGACAATGGCCTTCGAATCTTTGGTGATTCCATCTTCAGGTCAGGTTTGGGCAATTTTGGTGGTTGTGGGAATCGGGAGTTTACTGCTGAAAACGGTCGTGTTATTTCTCTTAACTTGTAGTTCTTCTGTGACTTTGGATAAGACGGAGGACGTGGCACCCGTGATGCAGTGTGAGGACGTCCCAGGTCTAATTTATTATTGTCTTTCTGTAGCTGTCTTGGTGGTGGTGGGCGTGGCGCCAATATGTAACTAGGAGGTTGATTGACCTTTATTTTGAAAGGTTCAATTTTCTCTTTGATAACATACTTTGAATTTGCAATCATACCAGGAAGACGAGGAATTTTGGGAAGTTTTTCGAACTCGTGTTTCGGGCCTCCACGAGGACTCTGTGGTGGATGAGGGACTTTGATGAAAGCAGCACTTACATCAGATCCTGCTGTTTTTGGCAGCTGTGACCGAGCTATTTTGCGCTGAAGTATTGGGCTGATTGAAACACTTTCTACAACAGCTTCTCTTCGAAGCATTCTGAAAACCGTTCTAGCCGATGGGCGATCATTTGGATCATATGCAAGCATACTGGAAATCAGATGTTTTAGTTTCCTACTGATTGGAAACCATTCCTTGAGGTAGCACTCCATTAATGGATTCTCTCGTAATGCTCGTCCGACAGACAAGATGTGACCACGGTTCTTGAAATGATACACGAGATGCCCTTCCCATGTACATCTTTCTATTAAAGCGAAGAATATAACCCCAAGAGAAAATATATCAGCTTTCTCAGTGTAGCTATGCCCAAATACCTCAGGGGCCATGAAGAACTCGGTCCCACAAAATGTAGTCATCACATGCTGACCAGAGAGTGATGCACATACTTTGGCCAGTCCAAAGTCAGCGACTTTAGCTTGTGGTTGCCCATCTCTCATTGTGATGAGAATGTTCTCTGGTTTGATGTCGCGGTGAACGATACGTTTTTCATGTAGAAAACTTACAGCATCAGCAAGCTGTTTCATAAGGTCACGTTTCAGACCATTTTGACCTAGACGTTCACCTTTGACAATAAAGTCATTGAGCGTCCCTTGAGGGCAGTATTCCATAATAAGCCAGATATTGAGAACGTCTTGTACAAATGTTGTATGTACACCAGCTATTCGTACAATGTGTTCATGTTCAAGCTTAGCAAGTGCAAATAGTTCATTCATGGCATCGCTGACTTTAGAAGGCTTGTCACACTTCAGTTTTTTGCCAACAAACACTTCCCCGGTGTCTCTGTTCTTCAAGAGTGATATCTCTCCGAAAGCACCTCTGCGCAGTTTTCCTATTTTGTTGTACTTCGCCATGATTAGAGCAGATCCCAGGTCTTCCTCTTCCACCTTTACAGCCAAGTAAGACCTTTGGCTGAAAACCAAGCAGAGAGAGAGAAAAAAACACCTTTATTAGATGACTGCCTGGGCTGTTTAATGAGACAGAGCCTTTGAAGTGGTCACCCGCAAACCTTCAAATAAAGACATATGTGGCAAATGCTAGGTAGTTGAACTGAGAAATTTGGCGCTCTGCCAACAACTCTACTTATTAGCCCCCTCAGTGGGCCTACCAGCAACTCTTAACCAATTATTTGCAATGCATATAGTATTAAATAGAATTTCGAGATGACCCCATCTTTTTTGTTCAATATAAATGTAAACAATAGAATGATGATAATAATTATAATTATTAGCATGTTCCAGAGGAAAAACATGAGCTGTGTGTGAGTTTAAGAGAACCATGAAAACTGTGAAATGAGTAATAGCTATTGTTAGGGCACATTAAAGGATTTTGGGACACCGTCCAGAAAAGACAACACAACTGTTTACGATAAAAATACATTGTTAATTCAACCCTATACTTACATATAGTTGTGGCCCTAACCAAAACTGAGACACAGAACAAAGAGACAATTTCTTACTTAGTTGGTCTATGTTAGCAACTATACGACTGTTGTCATAGCTAAACAAAACAGCCCCAGCAGAGTGCACTGTCTGGTTTGAAATTCACCAAAATCTTGGCACTGTGATGATCCCAACGTTTTACAATCATTGTACTAAGCGATGTATTCTATAGATATTTTGATACTGGCTTCAGTTCTGAACAGAATCACAAGTCACTTCTTCAAACAATACAATAGACCTTTTGACACAGTTATTGTGTGGCCACAAAAAAACAAATATTTGTTTACATTGAAATTTTTTCTATGCTTTTACAATTTTCAACTACTTTTATATTTTTTATAACAATCTCATGACATTTTTTTAAAAATAAAGAATTAGATTTTTGTAATTTTGTAATGAAAAAGTAATTGTGTTGCCACAAAAAACAAATATTTGTTTACATTGAAAATTTTTCTATTCTTTTACAATTTTCATCTATTTTTAAATTTTTTATCACAATCTCATGGCATTTTTTAAAAATAAATAATTAGATTTTTGTAATGAAAAAGTTGAACTTGACCTCACTAAGCTGTGTTTTAATGTTGGCACACTGCCATTAGCAGCTTTGAACTTGACATTATATGTTAATTGCAAGACTTGCAGCAGACAATGGAAATCCTTTATAAATGTGGGCACAATTGTTATGCTTCTTATTCTAATTCAAAATGGTTTTTGTCTAAACACCATTGATGTTGCAACATTTAATTACTTCAAGATATTTCATTTTGGCATATTTTTATTATTTAATGTTTTATTTTATGAAATTGTGTGATATATATTGATTAATAATCTAAAATGAGAACAGCAACTAAAAAGATATTCTATACTGTCAATGTTTTAACCAAATTTACACAAAGAATTCATGTATAACAAAAAAACTAAAGAATGGACATTTTTTTTTTTTTTTGCCAAAAAAAAATGAAGCAGAGATGAAAGATAAAATTTCTTCCTAAAAAGTGTTGGATTGCTTCAAATTGTATAGTACAATCTATGGATACCAAATAAAAGTTCAATCGGAAATTGTTACTTAGTAATTCTACTAGCAGACTACAATAGCTTGGCAGAATGCCAACAATGAGAGTCTACAAAATAGTAATACATTGAAGTGTTCCTGACACTCCCAACACCTATTTTAAAACACTCGACTGGAGGTCACATTTTAAATCAACACTTTTTGAAATGCATGTGCCCATTTCATATGTCAGATGAGAAAATATGCAGAAATTATATTCACAAAATTGGCATGAATAAAAGTTGGAGAAATGCCAAAATAGTGACAATGACTGTTAAAAGTTGTATATTTTGTTTGTCATAGTTGATCATTTATCAAGAATAAAAATATACTCTCTATATAAATGTGTTCACTAATGCTATGCTAAGAAATTTAGTTCTAAAAGTGATGTGTCAAAATTGTGAATGATCTGACTAAATTTGCCAAAAATACTGATAAAAGGTTCTGAACTTTTACAACAATTAAACGCCCTCATACAAGACTGCCCTCACACATCTGAACATGCTTACTATTAAAGAGAGATAAACCATTTAGACTCTGGGGCAGGGAAGCTTGGAAGATTTAAGAATTATAAAAGGGATTTCCTGAAAACCCAGTCTCATAGTTTCTACAGATATAGTAATTAATATTTAATGATCCAACATGCAATACCGGTAAATGTGATATTGGATTTATTACCCCCCCCCCCTCTCCCCTCTCCTCTCTCCCCTCACCAACCCTCAAATGTGTTGTTTTTTTTTAAAAAATCTCTAGTTGTTTGTCAATTTCAGTAATCATACTTCAAGTCTGTAATTTATACCAAATTTGTCATTCACTTTCAGTGTACTAAGACTATAATAACTTTGGTTACCACCTTAAACCTGCTTACAATATTTCCTTGGCTTTTACAATGAGGTTGAATTTAATTTTATTGTTTACAAATCCTAGATAAATTAATATACCAACTGACAAAATAAATGTTTACACAAAAAAATACTTAGACACCCAAAAACAGCAATTTGTAAATATTCTATTATTCACTTCTTCTGTATTTCATTCAGTGAGACACGGTTAATGAAACATATACAGATATTAAGTATCATACTCATGATGAAGTTTTCATTCTGAGATTATTCCTAAAATTATTTTAGAATCATGGAAGTATTATGCAAAATATTTGATAGTATGAATTTATGCAAATTAGCTTCATATTTTAATTTGATTGGTTGTATTAATTTTCAATTTGTCCAATAGTGTTCCAAATTTAAGTTGTTGCTAAAGTTACATGTTTACTTACTTATTAGTTTAGTAACTATTTAATTACTAAGTATTTACTGTAAAACATGTTGAAAAAGCGACATGCAATTTTAGCGAATTGTGGTAAAATGACGTAATAGAAAAATGTTGATTTAGCGAATCTCTCTTGTCATTGTTTATTTCTGTGTTTGGCGGCCATTTTGAATTGATAATAAAGTCATTAGCGACATCTTGAATTAGCGAATCAGTTCTCTTGCTAAATTCGCGAAAAAGACATGCTCGCAAAAAAAGTCATGTTTTACAGTAACCTAATTCATTAATAATTTGACAATTTTAAAAGTTAATTCAATAAATAAGTATTGTTTCAGTTATTGAAGATAATCTACACCTGTTTTGAAAATGTTTTTCCAAACTTAAGTTTTAATATATTCCTCAAATCCCACTTTGTTTGATAGTTTGGTTCAAATATCTTGAAATTGACCACTATATTGGGGAACAATGTATTCATTTAATCTCTTTGTAAATAAAATAATATAATTTCCTTAAAATTGAAATTAACATCATGGAAAAAAATGTTTATAAAGGTAAAAATGGCATCTATCCATTCATGTCAAATAATGTGTGATAAAAAAAAAATTATGAGAAAGTCAAATCCCAAAGTTATGGTTAGTGTGTGTAGCAGATATTGAATATATGCAGTGGCTGGTGGATGTTTGGTTATAATGGCATAAACTGGTACATTATCTCAAGTTGATTCTGGTATTTAGGTTAACCTTAGTGCGCATTACATTCTTTTTATGCAAATTCACTGCATATGAACATCTTGGGGTGATTTATAGTTTGGTCAAAAGATACTGAAAATAACAAATCAGATTGTTGATTTGAAATAACCAATCAAATCAATGATTATTATATGTAATAATTTATAATTGAAAGTAACCAATCAGATTCATGATACAAAATAACCAATCAAATTTGTGATACAGAATAACCAATCAGATATATGATACAAAATAACCAATCAGATTTATGATAAAAAATAACCAATCAAATTTGTGATACAAAATAACCAATCAAATTTGTGATACAAAATAACCAATCAGATTCATGATACAAAATAACCAATCAGATATATGATACAGAATAACCGATGAGATTTATGATACAGAATAACCAATCAAATTTGTGATACAAAATAACCAATCAGATTTATGATAAAAAATAACCAATCAGATATATGATACAGAATAACCGATCAGATTTATGATACAGAATAACCAATCAAATTTGTGATACAAAATAACCAATCAAATTTATGATACAAAAGAACCAATCAAATTTATGATACAGAATAACCAA